CCATAATTATCGGTGGACTTGGAACAATTCCGAACTCTTCCGTAAATATCTAATCTTGACACTGATCCCAATCGTCTCCACACCCTTCCGAAGTTTAATAATTATAATCCTAGAGTACTAACAAAAGATGAGGATTAATTCTACTCTATTCATTTACCACAATTTATACCTTTTTCCCATTATAAACTATGTATTTTTTATAAACTATCAATTATAAATTATATCAAAGTTTTCCTGTATTTCTTTTCCTTTGTCAACTACTCTATTGTCTGCGGGACATGCAATATCTATGATGATGCATGTTCTTTTTGTTTATCTACTTCCATTATCTTTTGTCTTTTTTCTGTCCAATACTTCATGACCATGCATTATTATATCTCTGAAATTACTTGCCATTTTTAGATAAATCTTCTAAATTTTCTCCATATGCCGTTTCTTCCCTGTCCAATACATAGTTCCCAATATATCATTTTGTCGCCTTTTGTATTCCTAATATAGACACGATAAGAATTCTAAGAATGGTACATTAGGAATTCTCATATTATTGCTCTGCTTGTTCCTTCGTTCCTTAATTAGTTATCGCCTACATTACGTCCTGTAATATCATGCCTGTCCCCTGCCCACTAGTTTTGGTAGAGTAACATTGGAAAGAGTAGATTAATCACCATTTTCTAAACAAGCGGTAAGCCTCATTCTGGGGTTCGTTGAAGTTGTATAATTGTTTCTAGAAAGAAAGAAAGAAAGAAAGAAAGAAAGAAAGAAAATATAGAGTAGGCGATAACGCTCTCATCTTTTTAATGTCTGCTTCAGTAAAATGGAAAACCTTGTGCATAATAATAACGAAAAAGAAAGGGGTGATAGGTTTATTTTTAACATTTATCTTGTTAAATTTTGATCTCTTCATTTGTACCCTCTTCCTTAAACAATGAACTGTATTCATACTTACGAGTACAATGCACTCTTAAAGTTGCTAAGCTCAAATATTCACCGATGCATTATACTGAAGCAGGCATTTAAAACATGAGAGCTTTATCACCTCCTCTATATTTTATTTCTTTTTAGAACCCCTAAGTGAGCCTTGCCACTAGTTTAAAAAATGTGTTAAAAATATACTGCTGCTATGACGAGAATTTGGGGATAGGGTACAGGCAAGGTATTATAAATCATAACGTTTGTGCTAACGAAGAAACAAAGGACCAAGTATAATTATAACAGTACAATTCCTAAATTATCATTCTTGCAATATTTATACTGTTTACAGAGGGAATACGAAAGGTGACATGATAATGTTGCAAACATGATACATTGGAAATTATACAGCTAGTCTGAATTGACCAGGCAGAAGCCTGACATGGAGATTCTCCAGAAGTTTTAATTGAAAATGACCAGTAAAATATTTTCAGGGATATCATGATACAATATGGCCATAAATTGTTATACAGGAAAACCAGACATTGTGGTGGTAGCTAAAGAATAAAAAAACATGCATCATCACAGATATTGCATGTCTCGGAAACAATAGAGTAGTTGACAAATGAGAAGAAAAAAAGGAAAGCTTTGATAGATCATAATGGAAAATGTACAAATTGTAGTCAATGAAAAGAGGAGAAGGGTATTTTATAGTAGTGGAATCTGCAATAAACTTATTCACTCCTTACATGATTCATAAGAAAATTTAAATAAGAAGCTGTGAGATTTATTATTATTATTGTTGTTGTTGTTTCTGTTGTTGTATGACGAGTGAAATAACTAAAGAGTGTCTAAGAATTCGCTTCTTTGTAAAAAAAATCAAATTTTATTTTTAATTATGCCATTACTATATCACTTTTTCAAGCTAAATGAAAGAAAGAAAGAAAGAAAGCGTGAGAAGAAAGAAAGAAAGTTTGAATAGAAAGAAAGAGTGAGAAGAAAGAAAGAAAGAAAGTTTGAATAGAAAGAAAGAGTGAGAAGAAAGAAAGAAAGAAACAAACAAACAAACAAAGCGTGAGAAGAAAGAAAGAAAGAAAGAAAGAAAGAAAGAAAGAAAGACAGTAGCAGCAAAGAAGAAGGAAGGAAAGTGTCAAAACAAAGCAAAAAGTTAAATGTTCTAAAGAAAGAAAGAATGATAAACGTTTCAAAGGATAGAATGAACGAAAGACCACAACAACAAAAAAGAGATAAAGCAAAGAAAAAGAGGAAAAGAAAGAAAAAGAAGTAGAGAAAAACATTTTAAAAAAAGAGGAAAACAAAGAAAAAGAAGAAGAGAAAAACATTTTTTAAAAAGTGGAAAAGAAAGAAAAAGAAGAGAAAAACATTTTAAAAAGGAGGAAAGGAGAAATATAACAAAAAAGAATAAAGGATAAAAAAAAGATATAAAATAAAGAAAGAAAGTAACAAAAATGAAAACGGAAAAAGAAAGAGGGAAATAGGAATGTCCTAAAGAAATTATGGAAATGATAGAAAACTGAAAATAAACCTAAAGAGCAAAAATAAAGTAATAACGGTAGAAAGAAGAAGAGAAAATTGGAAATATTTTTGTTAGGAAAGGTCAATTCAAAAAGCGAATTGTTATGATACTGGAATTAAATTAAAGATCAACAATTTTATTTAACCGCCAATCCTCGAGACTTGCTGTCTGCATTTATGCGAGAAGGGATTATGAATCAAGATTAAAATATGTAATTATGGTGGAGAAAGAAAGTAAGAAACAAACAAACAAACAAATATGGAGCAGAAAGAGTGAGTAGAAAGAAAGAAAGAAAGTTTGAATAGAAAGAAAAAAAGAAAGAAAGAAAGAAAGAAAATTGGAATAGAAAGAAAGAAAGAAAGAAAGAAAGAGTAAATAGAAAGAAAGAAAGAAAGAAAGAAAGAAAGAAAGAAAGACAGAAAGAAAGAAAGTGTGAATAGAAAGAAAGAACGAAAGAAAGAAAATTGGAATAGAAAGAAAGAAAATTAGAATAGAAAGAGTGAGTAGAAAGAAAGAAAGAAAGAACGAAAGAAAGAAAGAAAGAAAATTGGAATAGAAAAAGTAAATAGAAAGAAAGTGTGAATATAAAGAAAGAAAGAACGAAAGAGAGAAAATTGGAATAGAAAGAAAGAAAGAAAATTAGAATAGAAAGAAAGAAAGAAAGAGTAAATAGAAAGAAAGAAAGTGTGAATAGAAAGAAATAACGAAAGAAAGAAAATTGGAATAGAAAGAAAGAAAGAAAGAAAATTAGAATAGAAAGAGTGAATAGAAAGAAAGAAAGAAAGAAAGAAAGAAAGAAAATTGGAATAGAAAAAGTAAATAGAAAGAAAGAAAGTATGAATAGAAAGAAAGAAAGAAAGAAAGAAAGAAAATTAGAATAGAAAGCGTGAGTAGAAAGAAAGAAAGAAAGAAAGAAAGAAAATTGGAATAGAAAGAGTAAATAGAAAGAAGCAAAGAAAAAGAAAGTGTGAGTAGAAAGAAATAGAGAAAGAGAGAAAGAAAGAAATTTTGAATAGAAAGAAAGTGTCAGCAGAAAGAAAGAAAGGCTAATTAGAAAGAAATAAAGAACAAACATTTAAAAAGAAAAGAGAAAAATATAAGGAAGCAAGAAAGTCAAAATCCGTATATGAAAAACGATCGAGTCTTACTTGAACATTTGAATTTCCTTATTCAAAAAAAAAATAAAAAACAAAAAATGTCCGAATAGAGAAAAACACAACTATAAAAATAAAAACTCCTGACAAGAAAACCTAACAACGAAAAAATATTTCCAGTCTTAAACGTAGAAACTAAAATCTGCAAAATAGGATCAAATTTCAAACAAATCATTATCACACCGCAGTTTTTTAGGAATACAAATAGTGATCAAAATATATGAAAATAGGCATTTTACATAGCCGACATTTGCCTTTTAAAATGACTTTATATAGCCTTAATAAGACTCATGAGCCTCTTATTGCTGCTTAATTATAACGTTCTAATCGACGTTATAAAAACATGTTGCAGAAATTAAAGAAATGTTCTCGCTGGTTCACTTCTTCAACACATATTTCTCACGCAAGGCTTTCTAACGTATTCCAGCAATGTTCCCACGCACGTCTCTCTCACGTATTCAAACAGTGTTAACGCGCACGGTTCTCTCACATATTCCGACAATGTTCTCACTTACGGCTCTCTCACGTATTCCGACAATGTCCTCGCGCACGGCCCTCTCATGTATTCCGACAATGTTCTCACGCACTACTCTCTCGCGTATTCTAACAGTTCTCACGTATGGTTCTCTCATGTATGCCAGTAATGTTCTCACGCACAGCTCTCTCACGTATTACAACAATGTTCTCACGCACGGCTCTCTCACGTATTCCGACAATGTTCTCACGCACGGCCCTCTCATGTATTCCGACAATGTTCTCACGCATGGCTCTCTCACGTATTCCGACAATGTTCTCACGCACGGCCCTCTCATATATTCCGACAATGTTCTCACGCACTACTCTCTCGCGTATTCCAACAGTTCTCACGTACCGCTCTCTCATGTATTCCCACAATGTTCTCACGCACAGCTCTCTCACATATTCCAACAATGTTCTTAGGCAGAGGCTCTCTCACGTGTTCCAACGCACTATTCTCACGCACAGTAATAATTTTGAATATATCGTTATTGCCAATTATTAAATACAATTTAAATCTAAATTCTATCATATAGTGAGGTGCTAGTTAAATTTATATTTATACGCCTTCTAGAACAATGAAATCCACGTTTAGCGTGCAATTCAGTACTATCGAGGCTACTTTACAACGACAGTTTCGTTCTAAGCCTTCAATATAGCAAAACAGGAGACGCGGTGGACGCTGCCTCCTTTTTCGTTCAGAACAACATCGACTTATAAATTTAAATATCTAATGGCACTGGACCTGTAAATATGACGATTAAAAGTTTCGTGAGAAATGACAAACAAAATGCTTTATTTCTAATTGCCTTTGCAATACCGGATTATGTTCGCTGTCTATTTAATCGCATTTCGTTTAAATTGATTCGATTTTCTGTAAAATCCTATTTGATGTAATAGCGTGAGGAAGGTGAAAGAAAATGCAGCGAGTAAAAGAAAGAAAGAACAAACAGAAGAAAGACAGGGAGGGCGTAAGGCCATACAAAATGGAAGAATGAAAAGGAAGAAAGAAAAATGGAAGAGAAAATAGGAAAGATAAGACTAAAGAAGATAAACGGAAATCAAATGGAAGATAGAAAAAAATAAGAAGAGAAAACGAATTGAATGACAATAAAAATTAGAGATGAAGGAAGAAAAGAAGAAAGGGCAAAGCAGAAAAAGGAGTTAGAGAAAGAAGTAGAAAAATGAGAGAGATATAATCGATAAAGAAAGAAAACCATATTAAAACGGTAAGAATTCAAGGAAGAAGAAAAAAGAAAAGGGAGAGAAAAAAAGGAAAGAAAAACGAAAGAATATCAACATACAAAAGAAAGTAATAAAGAATATACAAATCTGAAGGACTCTAGGAGAAAGAAAGAAAGAAGCAAATGGAAGCCAGAAAAAGAAGTAGAAAGAAAAATTAATGTGAATAAAAGAAAGAAAGAAAGAAAGAAAGAAAGAAAGAAAGAAAGAAAGAAAAGGCCATACAAAACTAGAAGAATTAAAAGTAGAAGAATAAAGGTGAAAGAAGGGAGAGGAAAGAGAAAATAAAAGAAACGAAAGAAAATAAGAAGAGATGGAAAAAGGAAATAGTAAATATGAAAAGAAAGAAAGAAAGAAAGAACGAAAGAAAGAAAGAAAGAAAAGAATGTATCTTAAGAAAGAAAGAAAGAAAGAAAGAAAGAAAGAAAGAAAGAAAGAAAAAAGAAAGAAAGAAAGAAAGAAAGAAAAGAATGTATCTTAAGAAAGAAAGAAAGAAAGAAAAAAAGAAAGAAAGAAAGAAAGAAAGAAAAAAGAAAGAAATAAATAAAGAAAGAAAGAAAGAACGAAAAGAATGTATCTTAAGAAAGAAAGAAAGAAAGAAATAAAGAAAGAAAGAAAGAACGAAAGAAAGAAAGAAAGAAAGAAAAGAATGTATCTTAAGAAAGAAAGAAAGAAAGAAAGAAAGAATGTATTTTAAGAAAGAAAGAAAGAAAGAAAAGAATGTATCTTAAGAAAGAAAGAAAGAAAGAAAGAAAGAAAGAAAGGAACGCCCATACTGGAATAATTAAAGGAGGATAAAAACATAGAAATGTGAAGAATTAGAACGAAAAGCATGGAAAAAAGAAAAATAGTCATGAAAAAAAAATACAAAACTGAAGCAATTATCTAAACCAATATTCATTTTCGCACTAGCCAGTTTTAGTCGAGAAATACAAGATATTGTAAGCAACTATTCAGACATGTAATTCTTGTCCGACGTAAAAGAAATTGTAATGGTGAAATTAACCTTTTGAATACAATAAACATTCAGCATTCATTTACTGAGCATTTAACATTATTGTCAGTTGAAAGCTATAAGATCGATCTCATAAAACAGTTCTTTATAAGGAAAATAAACTTCACAAATCCATAAAATGTTATCACTCTTTCTAGCACTGAACGAAATTTTCTTTCTATACGTTTAGCTTAAGGTCGTGTAGAGAGTCAACCTCTTGATTATATAATTATTCCTTCTTCTCATTACATGCCCTACCCATTTCAATTGTTGCTGGTGTGCAGGGCGTTTATGCAGTTTATCAAAATATTTTTAAGCAGTCCCGGTTTTTAATTAATGCTTACAATAAGTTTAAATTAAACTGTGAGCGTGCTTACAAATTTTCGCTCAGATTTCGTTAACGTACCGTGCGCAAATCAAGAAAAGCCGATTCCAAACCTATGTTGAATAAACAATACAATTAAATGAAACAATTTCTTTCACACACACACACACACACACACACACACACACACACACACACACACACAGACACAGAGTTTAGTTTCCTTTCTTTAATCATCGGTCATATTTAGACCCACAGGAATGACAACGGTAATCGATTTCTATTTTTTCCTCAGATTAGCTCATTTGCAGTGGTGTGCAGTAATGTGAATCTATGTTCGGGGCGTATGATGAAATTTGTTTGGCCTTGAAAAATATTGCGTCATCCGTGATTGCATCCGATTTTTATCACGCCCAGACACTATTGTCTCGACTGTCGGTTAGTTGTCCTACGGCCTTTGCGATGGACGTTACCCCAAGGAAGCGTACGAAAACTGTAACGCTGCACGAACACACTGGCAAGCCTTACCAGTGAGTAAATCAAAGTACTATAGATTGGTCTGGAAACACCCCTGATTTAAATCTAATCGAGAATATGTGGTCAATCTGCAAGGAACGACTTCGCGGAATGGGCATAAGAAGTACTAACGTATGCACTGGGTCATGTTTCACTGAAAAAATACGAAGTAAAAGTAAATGATAATGGAATATTTCGTTTTGTTTCAGTTAATTTGCCCAAGGATATATATATATATATATATATATATATATATATATATATATATATATATATATATAAGGGACACTGGGATCAACACCAAGCGGTGACAGTTTTTTTCATGCTTGAACGCAATCTTCAGACCATGTGTGTTTTGTAAGTAATCGATAAGACCAAAGTTAACAAACAGCATTACAAAATAGCTACAAATAACCGCACACAGATCCACAATTATTTTTATACAATAGCTTCTTGAATAATTTGAAACATAACCATTACCGCCCATCCAATAATCTGCAGGCTAATACATTGGACCTTGCTACCCATAAAGACCAATGAACAGCCTATATAAATAGTCGAGCCAAAGCACAACATACATAGCCTAAAGATTGCGTTTAGCATTAAGTAAACTGTTGCCGTTTGGTATTGACATTAGTGTCCAACTTTGTATTTAAATACACCCTATCTCTTAGCACTTTTACCAATACAGAATACTTTAAGCCTATATTTTTATTATATATAGAAAGAGAGGAGATATAGTGAAAGAGAGAGAGCGATAGAGAAAAATGTGGTGCAAATCTTAATTTTAGTTTTAACATTTAAAGGATTTCTTAATAATAATCAATATTATTTATTTCCGTTAGAGTTATTTTATAGAGACCTGAGATTTTTTTCAAAATGCAAAATAAAGATTTTTATTTACATTTCTCGGACTGTTGCCATGTTCACGACGCTTCGACCGTGGTACGCTCCGGCCTTCTTCAGATGATTGGAATGTTGCACTGAACCCTTTATTTCGTCCACCGGCGTAGATTGTTCTAGTTCCACGTGTCATGCCTCTTCCGAATGTTTCAGTTATCTCCCTTTAACTCAACGCTCCAAGTTCTTGTTCACCACTATAGTAGCCAGGGACTTAACTCAAACTCTTTGAGTCAAATCCCTGAATCCAACCAACGCTTTTATCTACTGGGCCATGTGTCCTTGAGGAAACCAGCCTATGGATTTGGGATTCTTATAATCTTAATGTCTCAGTAATATTTCTTACCAAAGCTCATATTGCATTTTTTTTGTTTTTTTTTTGTTATTATTGCTTTTCTCCTGGTTCCAATATTGTATTAATTTCTATGTTTGGCCGATTTAGGGGATTACGCGCTGATTACTTTAGTTTTTGTATTTTCCGGGGAAGTTCTCTGTCTATTATTTTAACCTCATCCAAGAAGGAGGCTGTGATCTACAAGTGTATTGAAGTCAGAGGACTGTACTTCTTTGAAATAAATAAGTGTCTGTGATCAGAACTCATCATAATTCTACAAACAAAACATGCAAAATGTTATTAGCCACTATAAGAAAAGTACAATTAGCTATTTTTATTGGTGGAAAACAAAACTTGAAATTTAATATATTTTTACATACATCTAAGGTCTTTAAAAGGTCATTTGTATTTAGTATAGCTTCCCCTGGCACGAACTACTGCGCTATGTCAACGCGGGATCAAGAGAAACAACTTGAAAATTGTTTTAATTGCAATGTTCTACCATTCTTATTAACAGTAAATACAAAGTTCTTGCAAGTTCTTGTTCTTTTCTCTTATACACCTGAGTTTTCTCTACATATGTCGGCAGCAAGATCGGGGTTTTGAGGTGGTTCCGGGCTTATAGAACTTGTTAGGGTCCCAGTTATGGGAAAATAGTAAAGATACTGGCAATACATTTTTATATAAAATAAATTGCCAACAATTCATTTTATCTCTAGTCGAAGGCATACAATTGCGTTCAAAATATATTTAGTATAAGTTTCGGTGTTAAATAACCAATAGGAGTTGGTATGCCCCCAAGCAAAATAAACCAACCAAACAACTTTATATCGCTTACGCCCATTTTTTGCCCAGCATCCATGTCTCATTCAATTATTCTTACTTGATGTTTTAGTGAAGCCCGCATTTTTTTTTCCTTACAATTCATCTACTTAGAAGACTTTTAAGTGTCATCCTTCTTACGGTGTGCTTTGACACTTCAATAATAAAGCTGTTTTCATCCATTACTTTACGGTTAATTTGGGGCCGGAATATGATAACTGCACCAGATTTATTTAATCTCCTTTGATTTTCGAAGGTCTACCAGCCATTTTTTCATATCCAAAGATATTCTCAATATCAGTATTTTTCCCCAGGGTTGGCTTGAACAGCATGCTTTGCTATTCCAAGATCCTTAGCGATTTCATTTTGGGTCATTCTTTGACGGATTTTGATTCTCGCCTTCTCGAAACACACCCTTTGCTATTCCTATTTTGAAAATTAAATCGATGAAAGTTAAATCGACTACACTAAAAAGACAAGCTGAAGGCTGAAGACTTGATCATTGAACATAAATTTGCTAGCGTATCTTAAGCTGGGATATTGGTATCACAGGACGACTATTTGAGTTAATCCAATCGTTCATATCAAATTGTGAAATGAAGGTCGTTTTAAACGATCCCGCTTCCAGATACTTTCACAAAAACAAGGGTGTCTCCAAAAACTCTATCCTGGGAGCTACATTTTTTTATCTCCATTAATGATCTCCCTGAAGTCATCTCAGTTCTCAACCAGTTAATTATGAAGATGACACAACCATTTACTCCTCTCTCAATAGCAAATCCATCAGAGCTGACAAAGTAAACCTGTTTGCTGCTCTTGAGAAAGGACATCCAATCAGTGGTTAACTGGGGCAAGAAATGGCTTGTAAATTTTAAAGCCTACAAAAAGAAAACTGCTTTCATTTAACCAGCATAGAGAATCTTTTCTGCTCTCGATCAATATGGCTATGGTTGATTCTAGACTCCTGGATAGCAACACACAGACTCCTGGATAGCAACTTGGCCTCACGTTTTCACCTTTCTTGAAATGGAGTGAATACATTAAATCAATAGCTGCATCTACTGCAAGGAAAGATAGGTCACTGTGTCGTGCCAGAAAATGTATTTCGTCAGAATCGATCTTGCACATTTGGCATTCGTCTGTGCATTGAATACTGCTGTCATATCTGGTCTGGTGCTCTTGCTATTAAACTCGAGGTTCTTGACAAAACCCAAAGTATCTGTAACGTAATTGATTCTGACAAGGTATCTCGACTTCATTCACTTTCTCACCGACGTGGCGTGGCTACCCTCTGTCTTTTCTACAACGATGTTCATGGCAACTGCTCTGACGAGCTTTTTTCCTTGTTGCCCCGACTGCATGAATTTAAGCGTGCTACTAGATTGGATTCTAGGTTTCTCTCTTTTAATGTTGAAAGAGCTAAATGCAACCGACCCTTCTATTCCAAAAGTCTTTTCTCACACTTCCCGCCTGCGAAACTCCCTTCCGTTTACTTGTTTTCCTGATAACTGCAATCTTCAAATATTTAAAATCAACGCCAATCACCAACTTCTATCTTCTAGAATTCCCTTCATCTTTTTCCCTTCCTCAATCCTCCCTGTACACAGTCTTTTCTTTCACTTTCATTCCATGTAACCCCCTGCGTACTAGTGGCATCGCCGCCATATTTGGAATGATGTCTTTTAAAAAATGTTATTCTTCAGGGGTGTCCAGTCGCTCATAACATTTCCATATCTTATTTTCAGTACTACAATGCGTTCGGGTCTAAACTGTCTTCTCGTGAATACGACAACTTGACTTACATTGATGAATAATGAGAGATACAACACCTGAAATTACATTGTTGAATACTTACAGTAAGATTAGTCTGCTCAAAGCACTGTCCTTAGCGTAATTGAACGCTGAGAGATTTGAAAACTCAGGTGTATAACATAACGACAAAGAACTTGCAAGATCTTTTGTTTTAATGTCAACAGGAATGGGATAACAGTCCAGTTGTGATTTTAGTTCGTATCAATATGAGGAGTGGTTTACAAAATATTGATTATAAAGGTGAATAATATATATATATATATATATATATATATATATATATATATATATATATATATATATATATACAGATCTTCTTTAATAGATTTTCTTGAATGTGCAGGCCGGTATGCTACATAAATACAGTTTAAATAAACAGATGTCTACTCAAATACTGGTGTCCTCTAGATATGATATTATTTCAAATTACTAAGTACTTAATTATGATTCCTCTAAATCCCACCCCAAAAATTCTTCACTGTACACATATATATATATATATATATATATATATATATATATATATATATATATATATATAAAAAACTTAATTTACTTAATTTAACTTTTTACATTCATCTTTGACATATTTGAAGCTTGTCATAAAGCAATGGTTAGAAATCTAATCTTGTAATTCATTGCTTAGTTCTTCAGTGAGTGCTCAGTAACTGTGGTATTGTGCCATGCTTGACTATGCTAAACAGATATCATCGTTTTTGCTATGTCACGTGATTCAGATGCAGCTTTTGTAGCTTCCCTCTCTCCTCCCCCCTCTCTCTCCCCTCTCTCTCTGCTCTCTCTCTCTCTCTCTCTCTCTCTCTCTCTCTCTCTCTCTCTCTCTCTCTTTACTGATTTTTCTTTTGAAATATTTTTTGTGTCTTTTCAAACAGCAGATGATCGCCTTTTGGCCTTGACTAACTTCCAAGGTACCCAGCGTTCAAATGATGTCATTTTAAAGCTTCATTTTTGTTTGATATTCTCTTTTCTTTTCTCTTTTTTTTTTTTGATGATTCATCCTCTTTGCTCTCTTCGGTACATCAACCTCCAAGTAGGCATATGGGAATCGCTCAAACATAAGCTCAAAATACACACACGTATACACACACACACACAAACACACAGAGAGAGAGAGAGAGAGAGAGAGAGAGAGAGAAAAGTTACACATACACACTTGTAAATGCGTACAGGAAGTGCTCACACAAGCATGCGCAAACATACATCAGTATCATACTGCAACCAAGGAAGCAGGAATTCATATAAAGGAGCCCTGAAAGAAGAACACAGAACATTATAGAAGACGCACATTTTAAATTACAATCAGTGAAATTAAATCTTTAAATGATTCAATATTTTAAGACCATAAAAACAATTAAAATGAAAATAAATTTAAATTCAAAATAATAATTGCAAAATAGGTCTGCTGCTAGGAAAGTTGGTTCACTGTATCGTACTAGACAATTTTTCTCGCCAGAATTTACCTTACATATTTAAAAGTCTATTTATACATCTATGCTTCGAATATTGCTGCCACATAAAGTCTAGTCTTCCGGCTATACATTTAGAGATTCTTTAAAAAGTTAAAGAATCTGCAATGTTATTAGTCCTGATCTGGCATCCAGTCATCAATCACTTTCTCACCGCTGTAATATCGCCTCTCTGTGACTTTTCTATAAGTAATTTCATGATAATTTTCGAATGAGCTCCTCATTATGGTACCTAGACTTTATGAATTTAAGTGCAATAATAGATTGGCAACAAGGTCTCATCAATTTATAGGTGAACTGGCTAGATGCAACCGTAAGTTCTATGCTAATAGTTTCTTTTCACGCATTTCTCAATTGTGGAACTCTCTTCCGGCTCCATGCTTTCCAGCCAACTTTGATCTTCAAAAATGTAAATGCATTGTCAATCGTTATCTACTCTCTTTTATTGTTTTCGTTCCTTAATAATGTATTTTTTTTCTTTTTCTTATTCTTTCACATTCAGTAACCCCTTGTGTCTTAATGGCTTTATTGCCTTCCTTGAGATGAAATGATTAAAAAACTGTAAGAAATTAGTAGTAACGATAGTTGTTGTTGGTGGTGGTTATTGAAAAGAAAGAAATTAAATACTGTATAAAAGAAATTCTTGCCATTTTGATATAGTGTATAATCCTATATCTACTTAAGAGACGATCATTTTTATCGTAATTAAAGATAAGATACTTCTCTCAAGAATTTAGTGACCACAACAGTTATGTACTATCCGCGTCTGGAAATAACATAAGTCTGAATCGAATTTCCACTAGAAAGCGTTAGTCTAAGAAAAATTGATATGTGGATACAGTTGAAGACTACTCTGGAAAAAGTAAGAAAGGCACTTCATATGCTGCATCATTTGAGACATTTAAATGCAGTTACAAACTTATAATGTTTTGTAATTGTTTCTCCTACAGTAGTGGGAAAATAGTACGTTTAATCGAATGAATATTGGATAGTGATATGCATCACGAAATGCTGGAGAAGAACAAGCTCTTATCTGAGAATTGTCTCAAGCTATCTAGAGTTTGGATTTTTCAGAAACAGGATTATCTCAAGCATCAGTCAGTCAGTTAAGTGCCATACATGATACACGCTTAGGCGATCATGTATCTTTTGATACATAGCTGCCGAGGTAGTTTTATTTTATTTTATTTTTTTTTTTGTCGCAGTAGACTACCATTTCTTTCTGCGGTAGACTGGTTGCAAAACACAACAAAAAAACAGTCTTTCTATTCAACTAATAGCTGGGGGAGAGAAGGAAAGTATTCATAGCTTTCCCAATGATATTTGTGCGTAAGTGAATCTAACTGTCTCGACTGGAATTCGAACTCGGCGTTCCGAATTCTCACTCCGAGCCGATATCCATTACACCACAACGCACATCCTTCTGGCTTAATGGTATCTCACGCATACTGTTGTGAAAACAAAGGAATTTTCAAAGCAAAGGAATTGTTTTAGAGTGAACTCGTCACCCGCCTGTTCTAAATCCTGCAAAAAGTATGTAGAAGGACCTTCATCAGACAAAGCCCCAAAACCTGAGTGATCTGAAGATGATTTACCAACTGGTGTTACTTTTTTCAAGAAGTTTACCACAAATTATTTCAGCCTTCTGCCAATCCTTCACGCCGTAAATACTGTGAGGTCTTTATGCACATATCTCTAGAACGTTAGCCTTTAACTTTCTCTTGTCTTTTGTCAATATATCAAAATATCGTAAAACATTTCTTCATTTCTCTATACATAGTATAAACATAAACATTTCTTACATTCTACTCAAATCTTAGGTTCGCAGCCATAATAAATATTATAATTTCTTTAAGAAAGATTTTACATGTCATTTATATATATATATATATATATATATATATATATATATATATAGTTCGCCGATGAAAGAAATTAGAGAGATAAAAACAACAAAAATAATAATATTGATAATAAGACTAATAATATTTATTTTATATTCGTAGGCTTTTTGACCAAATGGAAGCATGGGAAGATGTTAAAAATCAGAATTTTCGGACACGCCATGTTCTCTCCCGACGAGAAATAAAAAATGAAGGGGGACTACTACTATATCGACATTATTATAAGACGCATACGTCGACAATGTTTCGTTGCAGAAACATTTGTCGACGTATGCTTCCACATTCACAGGCACACGAACACACACACACACACACATATATATATATATATATATATATATATATATATATATATATATATATATATATATATATATATATATATATATATATATATATATATATATATATATATATATATATATATAGCAATGGGAGACAATCTAGCGTACTGTTACGTGGCACACATCAAATTTGAACATTCTCATTTCTCTCAAAGTCGTAAGTGGATGTGCGGGTGGTGTAATAGATAGCCGTGAGCCAGGTTCGAATTCTACTAGGGTTCGTTACATTCACGTACGCTGAAATACCCTTGGAAAAAGACATGACTCTATCTATTCCCTCTAGCCATGGGTTAAATAGAATCATGTGTATCTGAACAAAAATTAGTGTTATTCGGGAAAAAATGTTAATGCAATAATCAGTCGCCAAAAAAAATAATTTTTACTGTTTAAAATATGTTTCGAAACTAAGTAACCTAGAAAAGGTTGATAAGTCGTAAAGACAAACCAATGATTCACTCCAAGTCATAATGACAGATTTAACACGGTAACTTCCAATTTGACACAGAAAGTGAAAAGAAATGCTTTTTTTTTTATAAAAACCGCTGTTGATACGAACCTCAACTCGGATACAGCAACCTTTTTAGAAGTGGTTAGATTCTTTCGTGGTCAACATCAGGAACTAGCTCGAGTCCTCTGGCTAGGACATATCATCCATTAACACAGAAAACAAACAGTTTACAAGGTCAGACATCATAAAAGCGGTTAAATTTATCCATTAGTTCGAGGACATCATATCACCGGTAATACTGTGATGGCCATTATTGAATAGCTCCAAGTCGTGGCGTCCAGTATTAGACGCGTTGGTCATATATATATATATATATATATATATATATATATATATATATATATATTTATATATATATATATATATATATATATATATATATATATATATATATGAACATTGAAGTTAACACTGAGAGAGACAGGCTGTCTCGTGCTAGACGCAATCGTCAGGTCACGTGTGTTGTTTTTTTTTCTCGGCTGAGAAAAAGACAACACACGTAGCTTGACGATTGCGTCTAGCACGAAACAGCCTGTCGCGTCTAAGTGTTGACTTCTATGCTCACTTTTATATTTACACACGCTCTATCTCTGATATTGGGCACTTTATCCCATAAATATAGCAAGACTATATTCTTCATATTTATATACATATATATATATATATATATATATATATATATATATATAATATATATATTAAGGAATTAATTTACACTATTTCTTATTATATATGTTATATTTTGTAGACATTCGTGTTTGGGTAGAGGTGCCTGTTTTTTAACATTATATTTGTGTATACTGGGTTCCGTTTGATAGATCTTTAATACATGCGAGTATATTTCGTTATTAAAGACTTCCGGATAAACCCAGGCCTGCTAGATGAAAATTCACTATTAAAAAAAAGAGACGTCTACTGAAACAGGAGTATCCATTAAAATAAACATTTTTTCTCAACTCTGCTCTTTCAAAAAATAAAGTAAAATTATATTTTATTCAGTTATATATTCATTATTAGCAGTGATTTCTTGTCACTTATTTGGCATCTCTTCGGTGCCTTTTGAGTAAAATTTCACATGTTTTTTATGTGAAGAAGTTTTTTCAGAAACTCTTTAATCTGATTTACATTAAAAACAGGTTTCTTCATCAAAATGTTTGGCAAAAGGAAATAATCGGTTAGTGCAAGAACAAGTGAATAGGACAGTTGGGATAGAACAGACTAACCGAGATCCAAATTTGTCCTCTGTGTTATTTTTTATGTATGCAGCTTTATCATGGAGGTGAACTAGATTTTTCCTTAACCCTTAACAGACGATAAAGTCAGTATATCGGTCGAAAGATCGAATAACGAAAAAAACGACTGATCCGATCCGTCGGCCGGAAAATACAATCCTCGAGATTCGCTGGCTGGTCTTTTTTACCAGCCAATCAGATTGCTTCTCGCATTTCTTGCACATCTGGGCCTTTCTATGGTGGTTTTATTTATGAGCTGAACTATTGGCCCCTCATACATGGAAGACAACGGAAGATATATATATATATATATATATATATATATATATATATATTTTTTTAATATGTTGAAATCTCCGCCTTTTACCTGAAGACGGTTGCGAGACCAGAAACCCGTGTAGTAAAATTATGGAAAATAAAGCATAATATTTTTTTTTTTCTAAAAAACACATTA